TCTTCTAGTTAAAGAAAAGTCTCTAAAAATGCTATGGCACAAGAGAGACATTTGTGCTTTATATATAGAAGCTAATTATTCTTAGATTAGTTACTAATTTTAATTTAATATATATTTATTTAAATTTTAAGTATGAATATAGATTTCTTTTTTTTTTTTAAAAAAAGATTGAGGTTAGTGTGAAGTGCCGTGAAATAGAGCCTCTAAGAGGTCAAATATGAGGGATGTTGCACTAAACAAGGTTGTTATTTAATATAATTTTGAAATAACTTTTTAAAAATGTTATCAACAATACCCACGGAATTACCGAAGGATGTATACGTGGGTAATTACCGACGAATGTATTTGTGAAGAATTACCGATGGATGTATCTATGGGTATTTACCGACGGATGTATCTGTGGGTAATTACCGACGGATAAATCCGTGTGTAATTACCGATGGATATATCCGTGGATAATTATATTTTTATTAATAATTTATGTTAACAATAATAAAATTAATTCATAAGTAATTATGATAAATAAAAATTAAATTAGATAAGAAGTTAAAAAATATATATAATTCTTCTAATTAAAGAAAAGTCTCTAAAAATCCTATGACACAAGATAGACATTTGTGCTTTATATATAGAAGTTAATTATTCTTTGATTAGTTACTCATTTTAATTTAATATATATTTATTTAAATTTTAAATATGAATATAGATTTCTTTTTTTTTTTTAATTGAGGTTAGTATGAAGTATCGTAGAGTGGAGCTAGGGAGAGGTCAAATTTGAGGGGTGTTGCACTAAACAAGGTTGTTATTTAATACAATTTTGAAATGATTTTTTAAAAATATTATCAACAATACCCATGGAATTATTGACGGATGTATATTCGTGGGTAATTACCGATAGATTTATCCGTGAGTAATTATTGATGGATAAATCCGTGGATAATTATTTTTTATTAATAGTTTATGTTAAACAAAATAAAATTAATTTATAAGTAATAATGATAAATAAAAATAAAATTAGATAAAATTTTTTAAAAAAAATATATAACTTCTTCTAGTTAAAAAAAGGCCTATAAAAATGCTATGACACAAGAAAGACATTTATGTTTTTATATATAGAAGTTAATTATTCTTTGATTAGTTACTAATTTTAATTTAATATATATTTATATAAATTTTAAATATGATTTATTGATTTAACTATAATATTTATTTTTATATATAATTTATTATAAATTTTAATTATATATAATAAAAATATTATATATAACAAAAATGTAACTTGTGGAATGCACTGACTAAACTACTTGTATTTTTTAATTTACATAAAAAAATTATAGTATTATATTATATTTTAACATGTGAAATACACTAGAATGAGAGGGAACCAGAGATTGTACAAGTATGAGATTGTATAATTGAGGATGACTTAAAGAAATTAATTTGTACTATCTATATCAATCAGATGCATCTTCTCTTTGGTAGCTCATTTCATAAGAACTTCACAGTTAAACGTGCTTAACATGAAGTAGTTTAGGGATGGATGACCTTCTGTAAAGTTTGTTAGAAAAATGTGCGAGTGAAGACAGGGCATGCTGAAAAGTCTTGTGTTGATTTGTGAGATTAATCTTTGACCTATAAACCGACGGATATCTCGCTGAAAAGTCTTGTGTTGATTTGTGGGGTCAATCTTTGATCCTATAAGCGGATGAATATCTCAAAAAGTGTTACCCACGGAGGGTTCTGACCAACAAGGAGTTGCATGAAGTGTCGTGAAGTGGAGCCGCTAAAAGGTTAGATCTGAAGGGTGTTGCACTAAAATGTATTCATGGGTAATTACTCACAGATATATCCGTTGGTAAAGTTGTCAAAAAGTTACCCACGACTGAAAATTCGTCGGTAAATGTTTCATATGAGCAATTTACCGACGAATTATTGTCTGTCTGTAATCCGTTAGAAACAAAGTGTTACTCACAAATTTTTTGGGTTACCCATGAATTTTGGTCATCTGTAATTCTGATTTTTTTTTGTAGATCTGGTTGTGGTTTTTGTTTTTAATTTTCATATTTTTTTGTTTTTTTTATTTTCTAGATTTGGTTGTTGTTATGCATTTGGAAAATATATCAATTGTTATAGGTAGTATATTGGACAGAAGTCTAAGTTATTGAATCTACAAGGACTTGAGTTACAATCATTTAATTTAATTTTTGGTACTAAACAAATAACTTAAGGAAATTTAAAGTTGTTTAAAGTAATGCATAAAAAAATATAAAATTTTGACCATAAAAACCAAAAAGGAGCAAAAAATTAATAAAGAATTTAAATTTAGATAATAAGAGTATAACACCTCTCAGATTTAGCATCTTAGTGACTATTACATAGCACTTCACACAATAACACTTCACACAACTCCTTAATGGCCAAATCCCTTTGTCGATCAAAACCTTTTATGGGTACCCTTTCTGAGATGACCTGCAACCTTTAGGATCAACAACTGTCCTACAAACCAACATAAGACTTTTCAGCATGCTTTTTTCTCCCTTGCACACTTTTTGGGAGGCTTTTCAAGAGGCCACCCATCCCTAAATTTCTCCATACTATACTGGGAAAGAGGACATGATTTGATACCATTTATAACATCCCTCAGATTTGATGTCTTAACGGCTTCATTCCATGAAACTTCATACTGTGATACTTCACACAGTTCCTCATTAGTTAGAACCTTTCATTAGTTAGAACTCTCTATAGGTAGTCCTTTCTAAGATGCCTAACCGTTTATCGGATCAACTACTATCTCCACAAGTCAATACAAGATTTTTCAATGTGTTTTGTTCTCACTCGTGTACTTTTCAGAAAACTTTTTAGAAGGTCAATCATCCCTAAATTGCTTTAAGACAAACATGTTTAATTATAAATTTCATTTATAATAAGCTACCAAAAAGGTGATACATCTTATTGGTATATGTAATATAAACTAATTCTTTTAAGCCACATTCAATTCCACAATTTCACACTTATACAAATCTCTATATACTTCTCATTCTGATGTATCCAGACTATTATAAAGAGCAATCAAATATTAATTTCATTAACCTTCCCCTTGTAAATTCTCTGAAATTTTTATTCAATATTAGAAATTATACAGTTAATTCAATAACCCTCAATTATATTTAAACCCTAACTTTTTATGTGATAAATTTTAGGTTGTTAATTTGAGGAAAATCTTAATTGCTTAGTAATTTTTGTTAGGGAATCCACATTAAGGTTAGAAACCTAAAGATTGACTCATAAAGCTTATCCTAATCCTAAAAATAAGTGCTATCAACATTTTATCTAGATTGTAATTCTAAAATGATTTTTCAACCTTAGTTAAAATTATAAAACCATTCAATGGTTGATTAAGTCACAACAGACATTAAGTATAAAGTAAAATCGATTAACTAAATAAAGACATTGTATGGAATGAGAACAAGGAAAATTACATGAATATGGTAGCTACATCAATCTTCAATAGTGGAGACTTAGCCGCTCATGGTTAAGGATTACACACAAAATTAAGAAGGGATTTTTGAGTAATCCATGATTTCTCACACATAGAACTTCTCTAATCTCTCAAAATTTATGTTTGTAAAAACTCTCATATGAAGTATCTCATGAAACCCTAATTTATAATAAATTGAATGGGGTTTTGCTCATGTATGCTCACTTAGAGCACCCAAACGACTCGTTTAAGCGAGCCATCAATTACTTCCATGGGTTATCTTTCTCCTTCATTGCTTTAAGTGAATTCTTCGTTTGTCAGCTCGCTCAAAGCGAGCAATTCATTCGCTTAAGTGAGCCAACATATGCTCCCAAGGGTGGTTTCTATGTAAGCTCGCTCAGAACGAGTAGTTCCATCGCATTAAGCAAATTCCTTTTAAAGAAGCTCACTTAAAGTGCCTAATTGGTTGTCTTGGAGTGAGCTTGAGTTGAGCCTTCTGTAGCTTCAAGTTTCCTTCTACCCTTATCTCAAAACTTTATAAAAGAAAACTATTAAAAATATCTATGATTAAACAATTTCATTCTTTAAATAAAATTAACTATAACTCCGTATTTATCACAAAAAATTATCCTCTAAAACATAAGATAAATTTAATAATTATCTAAATTAGATAAAAATTATAGACATATTTAATAATTATTAGTTGTAATGATTAGGGGTTAGGGGAGGAGAACATGAGGGTGGGGATGGCAAAGACAAGGATGTGACACTTGAGATAAGAAAGGTATAATGCACTATAGAAGAAGGGGAAGTTAAGGCAAAGGAAACATGTGGGCGCGAGGGGAGGTGGAAGATGAAGGTGAATTTTATTTTTTTTAAATTGAAATGTAACTATCAATGTAAAAAGTTAATTATATTTTATGTTGACGACATCTACATTAGAGCATCTCTAATGGGGGTTTGCTTATAAGCAACCCCCACTGCAGATGCTCTTAATTATAAAATCGAGCCTGATACTTAAACTTTAGCACAAGACATTCTCTCTACTCCTTAAACTTTAAGCAAAGGGCACAAGACATTCTCTCTACTCCTTAAACTTTAAGTAAAGAGGAAGTAGATCATAAGAAATTTGATTAATATTTATCTCGTAATTAAACACTTTGTAAGAGTATTGAAACACCCCATAAGAAATTTGGTTAATATTTATCTCATAATTAAACACTTTGTAAGAATGTTGAAACACCCCATTAATTAGTTCCCTTGGCAATTGGACAAATTAAGCAGGCTCTCAACTGTGATATGTTGTTTCTGATCAGCAGCTTCAGAAATATAAGTTATTCTTCGAAATTAATCAAATAAATACCAATTTATGAGTTTGATTAATTTAAGAGATAAATAATATTAAAAAAAAAAAAACAATGCTTTTACTGTGAGTAAAATTGTGACTGGTGAGACACCATAATCAGAGAAGATATATGAGATTGAAATTTGAAAGCAGGGTTAACGTAGGGCGTGAATTGAGTTGAATTCTATATAAATAACAAATTGAGAGCATGTTACAGAACAAAAAGGACAATATATAGAATAATAAAAGCACTCCCATAAAGCAAAGGGTAGGGGAAAGATCACTCTTCCTAGGGCTCCACTCCACACAACACAATTGAGCCTCTTTTATATAGTATGCAAAATATAGACAAATAGTTCTATATATCCCACTGCAAACACCTTCGGGAGATAATGTGAGACACATTTATAGTTGTTGTTCCATCAGGACTAGGAGGATAATATGGTGAATCTTCTGAATATTCAGTTGGCAGTGACATCCAATGCAGACTTGGCTTCCAATCTGTTTCTCTTAGGATCTTTAATATTTCCTTCACTACCACCTTACTTCCCTCTGCTGATAGATGAACCCCATCCCTAAGCAATCACCAAACAACATAATCAAATGAAGAAATTTAAGCAATTTTCAATTCAACAATCAGATTAACTCTATTAAAAATGATCAGTCAAATTTCTCAACAGAAATTAATCAGGATGAATACTTTACACAACTAATATAATTACAAAAAAATATATATATATATACTTACGTGAAACTAACGTCTAACCAATCATCCCTTGTCTGAATTGCAGACCACAGATTAATGGCCTTGATATTCATCTCCTCACAAAGCTCCATTAACGCCTCAGCATATACTCCACATGATTCATTGGTTCTTCCTGACTGCGTTGCACTGGATTCATTGATAGAAATTTATATGTAAGTGTTGACATATCATGCATCTATTTCTCTATATATCCACAATCAAGTAAAACAAAAGATAAATGATAATAAGCGAAACCTGAGCTTTTTGCGTATTTGTTCTTCATTGATGGGAGGAGAGGTGAGAAATATGAGGCGAATATGATCCGAGAGGCTCTGACAAACATTACGATATGTGTCAAACATATTACAATTAAAGAAAGAAAAAAGTTGTTGCAAGGCTTGTATTATATATCTGAGGTGGATGAATAAAGTCTGATGTGGAAGATTAATTTAATACCTTAAGATGATTTGCAATCCTCCTCATGTTTCCAACATATTCTTCGAGGGGTACATGAGGACCAAGGCCAGATGAATGAGGATCAATAGAATCATTGCCACCAAAGTACACAATTACCAATGATGGTTGCAGATGAGCATCCTGCATAGTTCAACAAAATAACATCACAAAAGGGTCACTCAAATATGAAGTTATCACCAACCACATTGTGCAAGGATCGATGAGTCCAAATCTAAACAATTAAAAACAAATTAAACTTCCTAACATGTTCCATTTAAAATGAAGTGTTTACTTGTTTGCTGATAATAATAAAAAAATTAATCGGTTATGTTTAATAAGGTTTTTTCAACTATGTTTTCTTATTTATAATAGAATATTGGGTGGCCCAAAAAATATTTTCGAATTTCGTGGCTCTCTTTGGTGTTGCATATGGCACTGGTAAATGACAGAAAGAGAATTAATATTGAAAAGCAGAAGATGGAATCTAAATATTAACATGCTATTTTGTGTGTACCTTTGGGAAAACTTCATCCAGAACCTCCAAAGCACGCCTCGAATTCCAACCTGAGTATCCTCGCAAGATGATGTCCGCCTATGTCCCCATGTTAACATTATTTAATTTAATTATCTTCAATAATGACAAACAAAAAGGTATATAGGAGAGGTATAAATTAATATTTGTTCATGCATTTGGTGAAAAAGCTCTCACATCTCATGTTGCTTTTCAATTGCAGCTAAGTTTTCACTAGCTTTTTAAATCACTCAGTTAAAAAATCATACTTTCATCTATAATAATAAATTATCAACAAATGAAAAAACCATCGATGACACCAGAGAGTATCACATCATTACCTCACCATATATAGTAATTAATTAAACTTTTTCACTGTTTTATAGATATGTGTCACCAACATACAAAATATTCGTCAATCTTTTGTGATAATTAATTTCTTTTAAAAAAATTAATTAACTATTTTTTTAGTAAAATATTTTCTCTCAATTATGTTAATAGTATTGAATTAGTTTTGTTTTAATAAGTTTTATATTTAATTTATAATAATAATAATAAGAAGATAAAACTTAAGACCTCATATAATTTATTCAAAAGTCTAACTTAAGTGATTGTATTTCAATAATTATATTTCAGATATTAGAATATGAATTTTGTCTAACTCAATTCTACAAAAATAATTTGTAAATATTATCTTTATTTATAAATTTTTATTTATTTTATTTTTAATTAATTTGAAATTAGAATTATTGAAAATAATTTGTACAAAATATCTATCATTAAAATTAGTGATTAATCTTCATAAAAAAAAATCATGAGAATACCTCTTTTTGTTAACACAAATCTTTATTCCTCGAATTACCAAAATAAAACTAACTATAATTAAAAAAAAATTGACAGTGGGAATACTGAAAACTTGTTTGACAGAGAAATCACCAAATCAAATGATAGAACCCCTTGCAACATATATCAAATTGTGGTGGATATTTAAACAAAGTCTGCTATGTGTGAGGCTGTTAGTTTAGTGTGGCTAGTTTCCAAATACAGAAAAACCAAGATGAGAAGCAGAATATGCAAGTGTAGATGGAATTGGTGAAGATAAGATGAAGGAGAAAGAAAAAGACCTTTCTAGCATACAAGTTAGCTAGAATAGCACCCCAACCACCATTATCGAAGCTCATTTGAATTATGGAGGAGCCAAACAACACAATCTGAGGTCTCATTGGGCCAGCCATATTCTATCTATGGATAGATACTATGTTAAGATGCTGAGTCTAACTCTATCACTCAAACACGTGGACACTATATGTTCCTACAACACGGGGTTCTGCAATTTATAGACTCAATATTCTTGCCTCTCTCATTCCAAATTTTCTGTCCCCGCCACGTTTCCTAGCTTGGCTGAATGTATAGCTGTCATTTATGTCTTATTATTATATTCTCAACTTGTCCTTTCATGGATCCACTCTAGTATAATATAAGTGGTATCAGTTATTTCTCACACTCCAAAATCATGTGATAATGTCATATGTTCTTATACTATTTTAAAAATTGATTATTATTATTTAAAAGAAAATTCAGGGTATCGATTAATTTTATGTTTTGTGCCAATCTTTTTCTTTTCGAATCTCAGATGTTTCTTATTTTTTTTGAAATAATCATCTTGAATCCGTTTGCATTAATTAAATTTTATAAAATTAAAATTTTAGTTATTTGTTCTCTTCAATTATTTTTTATTAATTTTTTCTCTTGCTTAAAATCTTCATTACCCTGTCCTTTATCTATTAATCTACCTATTTTTAAGTTTTAAATTTGAATTGTTTTATATTAAATGTGTATATTTTTAAAAAAATATTTATAATTTTATTTAAAAGTAAAATATCTATATAAGTACGGAATATTTGTTAGGTTGTATTAATATTTTCTAATTTTTTGATAAATAATTATGTCAAAATTATAATTATTTAAAATATAAAAAAAAAATCAGGAACTGAATGTACAGATGGTTGGCACGAAATAAACTGTCGTTCAAATACATCACGCTCGTGCTTATAGAAAATGACACTTCATGATTGTACGGAGAATAGTGTTTTAAGAATAATTAGTTAAAGAATCAGTAAAAAGAAACTATTTTATTAAAAGTTACAAATAAAAATATAAATCATATTAAAATGTATAATTGTATACAGAATTGTATAATTCTTTATACAAGTTTTATCTTTGGTAAAAAAAAAATTTATGAGAGTTTATTTACTTTCAAATCATCAAATCACATTAATCTAAAACGAAACTTTAACACATCCACACAGAATTAAAAAAAAATATAAAGAATTCATATTACTATTATAAAATATAACTATATATATCTTTTATAGATTATCATGTGTATTAATGCTGTTGATTTTTTTAATAATTATTTTAAAAGTCACATTTAAAATAATTTTTAGTTAGTTAATAATATAAAATTATTTATATCAATAATGTATAAAATTCAACTCTAAAAATCTAGAGTATAGTTTTGAGATAATTATATTATTTTTTACACTATTTATATATTAAAAAATATTTTTGAGAGAAATGAATTAAACATTATGCAAATATAGCTTGTAAAATAATTGTTTAAAAAATATATCTAAAAAGTATTACAAAAATCGACATTATATGTTATACTTGATAATGTAGGATGAAATGACAATAATTTTTTTTTACAAATTTAATGTATTTTAATTAAATTTTAAAGGTATATTGATAAAATTACAAATTACATAGTATATTTTATTTTTAAAAGAAATATATTTAATTTCATAACTTGCAATCATCAACCTCTAAACGCAATCATCAACCTCTAAACTCTTATATATTGAATAAGAATCTCTATATAGTATGAGAACATTTTTGTAGATTTTTTTATAAGAGAGTTTTTAGAGATGTTTTAAAAAAAATTTTATCTAATTTGATTTTTAATTATCATAATTATTTGTACTTTTAAATTTTAACATTTTTTAATTAAATTATCAAAAAATAAAATAATATTATATTATCATAAAATTTATTTATCATTAATTTTAAACATAATTTATATATTTAAATATTATATTTATTTATATATAATTCATTTTAAATTTTAGTTATATATAAGGAAAAAAAATTATGCATTACACATCTACACATATTAAAATATTAGTATTAATATGTTGTTAATTATTCTTAATTGAATGCAATGATTTCTATGAATATAGATTTTTCAACGAATTGGACTTTATTTTAAATGTGCTAACCTTCTTGATGCGGCTATATCCGCGTGGGCGTTAGATTCTGAGTAATCAGTACTAAGTTTTTCAATAGAAAACATGATCACAGACTCACAACGTATTTCTTTTAAGTCATCAAAAAGCCACACTTTCATCGTTTCTTTATGAGAAAATAAATACTTTTCTGTCTATTATTCAATATAGCTATTATAATTAATCTATATAGAAAAATTAATAAACAAACAAAATCCTCGCAATTCAACAAAATCCATTCATAATTCTTTTTATCTCATAGCTGACTCTTGAAATTAATCATTCAAAGTAAATAATACATTTTTACCCACGGACACTACACATACAAAAAGTGTTACTATAAATAATACGTAAGTATATATTTATTAATTGATATATAGTTACACAGAATTTTAGTGTTAATTTTGAACGAGATTTAACAATATATTTTATATATTACTATAGTTTACACTCATACATTTTAACAATATATTAACATAAATTATATTTATTATATAAATAAAAATAATTTTTAATGACAATTTTTGTGTCACTATAAAATGCATGTCATTATATGACAATTTTCTTATAGTAGCCATACCAACATTTATCCTTTTTCTAATCTCTCAATTGCAACATTTCAATACAAAATATTAATCAAGATTAGCCCATGCATCTTATTAGTTTAATTGCTTATTGTATTGGATACTACTACACCATATTATACTTAGTTTTTCAATATTTTTTGGGTCAGATAATAACATACTTTTGCCAAAGAATAATAATATTTATGTTCAATAAAAAGCTTTATTTTTTAATAAAAATAAAATAAATGATGTAGACCGGTCTAAATATGAGTGAACAAGCTAAGCTGAAGTATGGATAAGAGTATAAGACACCTAAAGTCTTTGCTTTAGACGTTTAATAATTATATTAGTTTATTAAAATACTTAAATATTTTATTTTAAGTCCTCGTGAAGCATCGCACTTAATTGTGACTTTTTCTTGTTAAAAATATTGAGACCTTTTATTCATTCATAAACGGAAGTTTCATGTGTCGCTTACGTTCTTTAAATATTGATGGTGTTATAGATTAAGGTTTTATTTTTGATAATTTGTATAATAAAAATTGTATTAAATATTAATTTATGATATCAAAATAAAACTCTAATTTTAATTAGAAATATTAATAATGGTAAAAATTTGTATTTAATTTTTATCTTATGTTATTTGTATAAAATATTTATTATATTAGTTAATCGCTAATTTTATTAAGAATCTGACTAATTATTTTTATTACACTCTTAATTATATTTTTATTTATCTATAATATTTGAATTTGAATTTTTTAAAAATTTGAATAAAGATTCAGTTCAATTAACAATATGTACTTATTGAGAAAATTTTAAATTTTATATAGACTAGAGATTAAATAATTAAATAATATATATGTGAAAAATAGTCCTTACCCTAAATACCAACTTGTAAGGTTGAATTAAGCTCAAATCTACTATTCTAAGATGGTATTAGAGTATCTTAGATCTTTAAAAAATATGCATGTCATTATATGACAATTTTCTTATAGTAGCCATACCAACATTTATCCTTTTTCTAATCTCTCAATTGCAACATTTCAATACAAAATATTAATCAAGATTAGCCCATGCATCTTATTAGTTTAATTGCTTATTGTATTGGATACTACTACACCATATTATACTTAGTTTTTCAATATTTTTTGGGTCAGATAATAACATACTTTTGCCAAAGAATAATAATATTTATGTTCAATAAAAAGCTTTATTTTTTAATAAAAATAAAATAAATGATGTAGACCGGTCTAAATATGAGTGAACAAGCTAAGCTGAAGTATGGATAAGAGTATAAGACACCTAAAGTCTTTGCTTTAGACGTTTAATAATTATATTAGTTTATTAAAATACTTAAATATTTTATTTTAAGTCCTCGTGAAGCATCGCACTTAATTGTGACTTTTTCTTGTTAAAAATATTGAGACCTTTTATTCATTCATAAACGGAAGTTTCATGTGTCGCTTACGTTCTTTAAATATTGATGGTGTTATAGATTAAGGTTTTATTTTTGATAATTTGTATAATAAAAATTGTATTAAATATTAATTTATGATATCAAAATAAAACTCTAATTTTAATTAGAAATATTAATAATGGTAAAAATTTGTATTTAATTTTTATCTTATGTTATTTGTATAAAATATTTATTATATTAGTTAATCGCTAATTTTATTAAGAATCTGACTAATTATTTTTATTACACTCTTAATTATATTTTTATTTATCTATAATATTTGAATTTGAATTTTTTAAAAATTTGAATAAAGATTCAGTTCAATTAACAATATGTACTTATTGAGAAAATTTTAAATTTTATATAGACTAGAGATTAAATAATTAAATAATATATATGTGAAAAATAGTCCTTACCCTAAATACCAACTTGTAAGGTTGAATTAAGCTCAAATCTACTATTCTAAGATGGTATTAGAGTATCTTAGATCTTTAAAAAATGTCATCTATCTTAAATCATTAAAAAATATCACTCATCATTTATTCATGTACCAAGTCTAATAGTGTTACAATCCTTATCTTACAAGTCGATTTTGTAATTTTCAAAATTACTACACGTACATACTTATCTCAATCATTAGTTTTTTCAATTTCTTAATAAAAAAAATGCATCGTAGTATTTAATCTTTAATGCTTTGTTTGGTATTTAATAAAATGACGGGAGAATACTGAGAATAAATATGTGATAAATGAAAAAATGTTGTTTAGTTATGTAAAATAGGTGGAAAGAGAAATTAAAAAAAAATATGGAGATCACACTTTTTTATTTTCTCACATAAACGAACAAAAATTCAAACGAGAAAAGTGAGACAGTCGATCTTACATAATCAATTGCATAATGATTAAATTACACAAATCTCTCACCAACTAATTTAATTAATTATAATTGCATTTCAATTGATTAAAGTTGTATTTTAATATATTGAAATGCATTTGATCGATTCAA